CGATTTTGCAGCTTTCGATTTTACACGCGCTCAGCTGTAGGTTGACTGATGACATATGCTTGCGGCATCTTTGCTATCTATGTATGCTTTCTTCTCTACACTTTCACTTCTTAACACTTGTATGGTTTTAAAAGACTATATTAGTCCAATTTGTTACTAGTGATTCCAACTATAAAATGTCTAATGACTAGTTAATGGGTTTTTGTTTAATTATTTTCTTCTTTCTTTACTTTCACATTTATTATTAATCCAAAACAATACAAGAACATAACTTTCAAGTCTAAATGACATAGTGTTATGTACACACTTCGTTAATGAAGCACTTAATTTATCGTGATTATGATTGACAACCAAGTAAATCGGACATGTACTATAGGCCGACCGTTTATCTGAGTCCTCGCCTGCGCGGTAACAGGGGCGCGGGGGTATGACGACAAAGGGGACTGAGACAGGTGCGGTCGGCGGGCGAATTTTTGTAATCGCTCATTTCGATAGCAACGCGGACAGCGATCGCACGTGTTAATTTCTGCGGACGCCTTGTGAGAGATACACATGTGATAACAATCTCAAGATGAATCGTTAGATCTTCTTTCATAAAGTGAATAGTCAGTGCAAGCAAATGGCTTTAAACGTGTACGAATATTTTAGAAAAAAGAAACTGGACCCAAATTCTGTTGAATATCAACAAGACATACATTTAAACAAAACCGTAGCAGAAGTTACTGGACTATCGGAAAAGACTGTATCTAGAATCGTACATCAAGGGAAATTATTGAAAGACAACAAAAGATTCAAATCACCGAAAAAATCAAAATAGGTTCGCAAAAAAAGAGTAGAAATAGACGATTTCACAAAAGGAGTGGTAAGAAGAAAAGTCACTCAGTTTTATACAATTGATAAAAAAATACCTACTCTGAAAACGTTGGAATATTTAAGGCTGTTGTTAGATGACCTAGGTTTTAAATTTAAGAAATGCGGTTCTAAAAGGAAACTCCTTATTGAACTCTACTCCATCATCCAGCATCTTGGATGTCCTCAGCAGTAATTGACTGCGGCATAGGCTATACTGTACCAGGTTTTCTTAAATCGGGCGTTCATTGCCTGGATGGCTAGATCCTTCACCGTTATCAGCCTACTTTATTAATAGGTGCAGTAGCCGCACGTTGGAGCTTGTAAGCCTGCTGCACTTAGCCTGTTAATTTAGACGAAGCAGGTCAGAACATCACTACAAATGCACATGAGTACAGACACTAGGTACTTACATATGAGTGTACAATTACGATATAATACACTCAAATACAGATCTAAGCAATACATTTAATACAATTTACTTGTATTTTTATTCTATTCAGTTCAGTGGGCAAGGCGGTTAGAACTATCTGAAACTCTATACGCACCTTGATACCTTGGAGGTTTTCCATAGTTCAGAACTTACCATAGTATGTACAGAGGTCGTATGTCCTGCGAATCCCCACAAACAGATACAAAGATACCGTGGGAGAGCCATACTTCTGTACGAATGGGCTGGCTCGATCGGAGTGATACCACGGCCTCATAGAAAACCGGTGTTAAGCAATTCTGGCGTTGCCTTTACTGAGTGAGTGAGGTTACTGGAGCCCAAATCCCCAATCCTACTCCAAGGGCAGCAGCGCACCTGTGACTTTTCAGTTGCAGGTGTCCATGGGCGGTGCTAGTTGCTTACCATCAGGTGACCGATCTGCTCATTTGCCCCCTTATACCATAAAAAAAAATAACACCCAGACTCAAAACAACAATTTATGAATCACACAGTGTCGTAATGAAATTCAGAATAAATTTTTTTGGGCCAGGTCCTTAGTAAAGTTGCTAAGCCAATTAAGAGATTTTTCATTGCGTGGCCTTCAATCGTTAATTCGACCTAATATATAAATCATCTGATATAAAAAAGATAATCAGTTTAGTTCAGTAAATAATATTAATCAAACATGTCTTTTTCGTAATAATCATAGACAAGACACGTTGTTTAAACAACGACAGGTGGTTTATCAAAAACAAATATTACTCATTGATTGTTTATATCATTATTCTATTTGTCACCGCTGGACTCACACATCTGTATAACAAAAAGTATAGCAACACTATTCCAGGAAGAAATTCCAGAATTAACTAAAGGAGGTTTAATGTAAGTACCTCTTCAAAATTAATGTCAAAAGAAGAAACATATATGAAATTACGAAGTGCTCACTGAGACCATGGTGTTGCAAATAACTTCAAACAAACATTCTATTTGGAGGAACCAGGACAAGAGAAACTAAAAACTATTTACATAGACACTATTTTCGAAAATTGTAATAAACAACAATCTTCGAAGTGAGCGATGACCGCAAGCTGCAAGCCTGACCATCAACACCTACGACCGCTCTGGCATGTGTTCAACTAAGAAAAGGAGGAGTGTAAGCTGTAGTTGGAAAGATCAGGGTCGCTTACTCTTACTTTGAACAGACTGTTTACTGACTATAGCCAAGGTTTGACCAGCGATCATTTAATATTTAGTTACTTTCTTAATTTTATTTTCAGTACTGCAAAAAAAGAAAATCCAAAAATTGCAACATGAAAAATTCTCATAAACAAAACTCAGAAAATGGAATGACCCCTGCGGGTAATGGGAATTTTGAAATGAATAAAAATGAAAATGACAAAAAAAGAGCGCATTCTACTAGAATGAACCAGTAAATATTATAACAACTAGACAGTAAATTGTTGCTATCTATTTATATAATTTTTGCAGAGCATTCACATTCGTTTTACTTACAGCAATTTTAAAACAATGTTACAAACGGAGTGCGTGGTATCAGGACCGCTCAGTTTTGTTCTTTTTCTCTCACGAATAGCTGGGATAGCACCACTGAGATTTGAGAGAACACGCGACGGTTGGTGTGTGCGATTTTCGTTGTTATACTGCGTCTACAGCTACATTCTTTTATTTTACTTTGGTAAGTCATGACAGTATTAACGAAATACGGGAATAGAGTATGTTTGTGTGCATACGTTTAATTGTTTAAAATATCTTTATATTTCAGTAATCTGGATAATTTGTTATTATTTCGGTAAAGGAGATGAAATTACGGATGGTCGAGCATCATGGGGAGCCAATACAGACGTAATGCGATTGCTGAATGGTATTTGCGTAACCGTAATGGCCATAGTTGGCTTTACTATAATTCACACTGACCACAGTAGGATGTGCTGTATGATTGATTATATATCGCAGTTAACATTAGTAAATATATTTGAAATTTCATTAGTATATAATAGAATTAGAACAAAGCAGCAAAATGTTATTACCCACTCTTAGCTGATAATGCTTAAAGATGACAAGAGGATAATTCTCTAACAGATTGTCAACTTATGAGGCATATATTATAAAGACTCATCAACGATGATGAAAATATGTCATGATTCATCCTAATTGCGACCCATCAACGTATAAAATAAACTTGTTGTACCCGCCTCTAGGCTCCAAAAGATAAACAAGTCTTTTCGAGGTCAGTGTGTCCGATTTTATAATAAAATCCCAAATAATATTCAGGAGTTGAGTATTAACAAATTTAAATCCGCAATAAAACGTGGCTTGTGCCAGAGGGCCTACTACTCGATTGTGGATTACATGGAGGACAAGAATGCTTGGGATTAATTAGCGCAGGCTATTTCTTTCTTAAGTAAAAATGTGGTGTGGCTAGTATGTTTATTATTATTACTAGCTGACCCGGCGAACTCTGTTCCGCCTTAAAGGCAATAAATAAGCCGATTTTGCATTTCAGTACATAGGTTGCTCTTCACTTAAGTACTTTTGATACACGATATTTTTTGTTTTCTTATCAGGCGCAAAAACAAACAACGCAGATGGTCTTCCGACCCGTGAACATGCCACATATAATTGACCATGGGAAAAACATGGATGTTCTAGATTCAAACCACAAACATTTAAGGATTGGCCTTGTGATTTGTTGCTGGTCATGGCAAATGCAAGACGGATCGGAAATTGAAGTCTTTTAAATTCAAACGTCAAATCGGTTGGGATCATCGGGATCCTCGGAATGAGAACTTCCTCACCTTTTAATTTTCCTTTCAGTATCGTCGCGTAAATTACATTGTTCATCAATTTTCTAACCACCAAACGCGTACCGTTGCACAGTTTTGGTTGGTTTATGTTTCGAAGCATGATTACTACGGAGCCAATCTTTAGGCGTAAATTGTGCGGTGGTAAGCCAGGCACATCCAAGGAGTTTAAAAATTCAATTGGATAGTTGGTGGCTTCATCTTCATTTGTGACGCAGTCAATAGATTTGAATGAATGCATTGTTCCAATGATCTTATTTTGATTATATAGTTCAGGTCGTCTACATCTTTATTCTTAGCCGCTAAAATTGATCGCTCACTCAACCATTCATTATTTTTGTAGTTAGAAATAATGTCTGGAAATACATTGTTGATAAGTTCGTCTTTTGATGAGACAAAATTACAGAAATTATTTGGAAATGATATCAATCCGCTCGATACATCGACAGGTACTTGACCATTACCGATAGTCAGCAATTGCTCAGAGAAATCTTCAGCAGATGTATCATTAAGCAATGCAACTCTCATGTTTGCTGTCAGCTGCAGTTTCTTCACATAGCGCCATAGATTCGACGATTTGAGGCAAGCGTTTATTTCGTCGGCAGCCGTAGATCTTGGAATTACTGGCAGTGTTTGGCGGAAATCGCCAGACAGTAAAATCATTGCTCCTCCAAAACATCTCGATTCATTCCGTAAATCTTTCAATGTTCGGTTAAGTGCTTCTAATGCACGTTTATGCGCCATTGTGCATTCGTCCCAGATAATGATTTTCGATGCCGATAAAACTTTGGCCATTGCTGAATTTTTCGTAATATTACACGTTGGTTCTTCAATAGTTTGAAGATTTAACGGTAATTTTAATGCTGAATGAGCCGTACGGCATCCTTCTAACAATGTGGCTGCTATTCCAAAAGGAGCAAATGCAACGCAACAGTGGCTAAAACTACTGACATGAGGAATGTCTTACCTGTTCCACCAGGGGCATCTAGGAAATATAAACCACCATTTCCATCATCGATTGCTTTAATTAAAGTATCATAAACTTCCTTTTGTTGGGAATTCAACAGGGGTACATTCTTTTGAACTACTAAATCTAATTCCTGGTGATCATTTTCACGTTCCCGTTCCAATTCTCGATTAAATGCGTCATTCATTTCACGATTGGGCGCTGGCATTCCTAACCTGATTAATAAACTACCGCACATGAGGTAACACATATCTTCGATCAAGAGTAAAGCACGATTATGTATCTCCTCATTCATCTCAGCGATTGTCGTATCCCAATGGGTATCGTTTTCTAATAAGTTCAGTTCTTCACATGCAGCACGTGCATGCATATGTTGGGAATATTACACCATTAACAGTCCGTAGTGTCTCAAATGACGTTGGCCCACGCACATTTACCAGCAACAACCGCAAATAGAAACATTCATCATTCTTTGGATGAACTGTATACATACGACCAAGAGCATCAGTAGAACGCACATCCGGATACCCAGGAACCGCATCGCCTTGCTTCCGTCTTTGAAATTCTTCGATGAAGCATTCCAAGTATAATAACGTGGCATCTCCGAGTAAAGCAAAGTTCGTGGAAACGGATCGCTTTGCAGATCGCAAAGAAACTGGTCAATGTAGTTGCTGGAGGTGTTTCAGCACGTTGCATAGCATTCGAAGCCGTGAAATATACTCGTTGATCATTCTTGAGATGCACCGCCAAATGCACAACATTAGGATGACGTTCGTGAATAGGGAATGCGAATATACGCCAAATCGCTTCATTACAGTTTACATAACGACCAACTTGATAGCGTGAAATTTCATCGTTGGTATTTGAGGATTGCAATCCAAAAACCGCCATATCGCTGCCTTTCGTGACATATTTGCAAATGTATTTTATTTACTTTACTGAATTGCAATACTCAACGTTGATTGCAACGTTGAGTATTGCAATTCAGTAAAGTTCACAAACGTTCAAGACACATTGGTGTCTTGAACGTTTTAGAAATAAGTGGCGAATATGGAACAATCCAACTGTTGTCGACAACGAAATCCATTCTTTTCACTTTTGTTGTGACAGTTCCACCGTTGTCATCTGGTGATCGACGCCGATACAAAAAAAAAATACGGAATAAAAAGTATCCTATCTCCGTCTCCTGGCTCTAAGCTACCTCCTCACCAATTTTCAGACATATCGGTAAAGCCGTTCTTGAGTTATAAATAGTGTAACTAACACCACTTTCTTTTATATATATAGATTATTTTTTCTATTTTTTATGTTTCACTTCATTTTCTCTTGTATTCGTTTTTTCTTCTTAATCTTGTTTTCTCTTCATTGTCTTTTCACCTTTTAGTCCTTAATAACGGACATACTAGCACACATCAAAACAATGTTGTAATATATTTAATAGTACCATTGTATCTACATGTGAATTGCAAAAGAATGGCCATGAGTTTGTTTGCCCTTTCTTCTCATAAGGCTCAACCCCTTAGAAACGGGCGGTTGTAGATCGGCACAGGCATATCATAGATATACAAAATCTATGATATGCCTTTGATATGGGTTTGATTTTTGTTAAATTTATTTGGTTACTATTTGACAAAACAGAGATTGTTGCTTTTGTGTGTGTTGATCTATGACTTTAGAGTCTACATGGAAGACGATTTCATACAATTTTTCAAATTTTATGAAATAAAGACAGTTTGAGTTTGAGTTTGAGTGTGGTAGATCTTAGACAGTGTATACTATCGTACAATGTGATAGATCCGGTTTGGTTCGTAATATGAAGTCGAAGTAAATTTAATCTTCTCTCAAATTCATCATTATTCAGCGACGACCAATGCAAAATAATTACTTTTTGTTTTTTTAATGGTTTGAGGAGTGCTCGAGTAGGTCAGGTCTGAATACCTGTGACTCAAACTGTCTATTGCCGGGATCCATACCCTCTAAACTTGGTGGTTATAATAGGTATTTACCTATGAAATTGCCGTTTTGTATGCAATAAGTGAAAGTACTTATTTTTTCAAACTTTTTTATTTCTGTTATTCGAAGTAATCACCCATGCAATCGACGCATCTTTGCCAACGCATTGGCAGTTTATTGATGCCCTTCTTGTAAAAATCAGCTGGACAGGAGGCAACAAACTCTTCAAAAGCATTTTATACTGCCTCTCGGGAATTGAATTTTTTACCCACTAAAAAGTTGTCTAAATTTTGGAAAAAGTAATAGTCGGTAGGTGCAAGGTGTAGCAATATTATGCTACATAATTACAAAAAAAAGACGGCTCTTCGTAGATGCGTCCTGGTTCCCTATTCAGTCTTGTCCAGAACAGCATGCGATGCTATCTTGTACTGTTCTGGAATGAATCGTATGGAATATTATACAATAATAACATTTTCAAAAATCTAACATACAACGCTATCTAGTTTCAAACTAAGCAGAGCTTGTACTATGAAAGCTAGATTAACTGATAGATTTTTTTTTCATACATTAAATATTTTTTTATCTACATTTAAATCTGACGCTGTGTGTTATTATGAAAGTGATGGTGATATTATTATTTTTTATTTTCAGATCAATAAAAAGATGAACCATTACTTTACTTCACTACCTACAAATAACGTAACACTTTGGATTTCAGTTTTAATATCGTTATTTATTGGATACTTAAGTGTTTTTATGGATTACGGATTCTATATGTATGACATAATGCTCGCAAACAAAGGTAGTATAATAATAACGAAGTACACGACCGACTCTGCACTATAGTATAAATAAATATTAAACAAAATGATCGTGCTCATCACACAATTATTTGTCCTGAATGGGAATGAGCGACAGACCTGTCAGTACAATCTTATACCTTAAACACGGTCTGTGTGGTTAGGCATTGAGTTCGGTCTTGGATTCCTTTGTTGTTCCCATGTTGTTTTAAGATCTTCAAATAATTGTTTAATTGAGACTAAATTAAACATTATAAGAAGGAAGCCGATATTTCCACAGCGCTTACCTTTGTTTTTTCTTAAAAATACTAATAGTTTATTTCCACGTACTCGTATGTTCGAAAGATCAACAACGATCACACAGATTACTAACACCAGAGATAGAGATTTCATATTTTCTGCTCTCATTTATTGGTTGCATTCGTAAATTAAATCACATGATCATCACATCAACAGCCTTAAATAATCCACTGCTGGGCATAGGCCTCTCCTTAGAAAGGAGGTTTTGGCCTACTATATCACGCTGGCCAGACGGGCTGGTATATAGTTTATATCAAGTTTTCCTTCTTTTTGCAGTGCTGATGTCCTGCGTTGTTTTGAGCCCTTAGTCGGCACTAACACACCTACGGGATGCATTGGGGAAGTGACATTCCGTATTCTTAATCCGTCACTACAAGGACAGAAATAAATTATCCCCAATTGTATCCACGTAAATTACACCCAATTGAAACATGTCTTTAATTATTACATTTTAGATTAAAAGAACAAGGTCACCGTTAAAAGACAATGTAGTAATAAGAAATGAGAAAGGGATGCTGCAATTTTTTGGGCATGTTGAAAAGATGAGCAAAGAGAGAATGACTAACACAATATATGTCTCCTGGGCCTTATGAGTGCGGACAGCGCCCAGGTCCTACACTGACCAGATCAGGTGCTACACTGACCAGATCGCCAATGTACTTAATATGAAAGGTTTGATGAATGTAGGAGAGACGTGAACTTTATGTCAGGCTCGTGGAAAATGGCGCGCTATCATTTCTACCTATACAGGAAGTGATTAAGGTGTGGTGTACGTATTTATGTTTATGTGCCAACGTTTCATTTCAGTTGGCTTTCTGTCCTGTTCACTGATAACGATATATTTATTCAGTCTTATTGTGCACTTGTACGCAATTAAATTCGCAATGGTCGTTATGCTGGTGGTGTCAACTCTTCAGCGTGTTAATAATAGCTTGAAGATCATACTTCATGAGATACGTAACGAAGGTAAGCACGTATCCCTACTGTTCTTAATTTATTACATCAGAAATGCAAAAATCGATTTATGCACTAAAATCTCAATTAGGTGTTGCAAAATTATTCGGACGTTATGAAACACGTCTCCCATAATTTGGAGAGACAGATTAAAGTCAGGCTAGTTTAGCAAGGAGAACTTGTTCATCGGTTTCAATATCGTAATTTAACTTTATTTTTTATTATTTTGTTAACAAAAACACACGCGAATAAAATTTTAAATTATAATAAAAAAGTTAAGAACTAATAAAACTGAAAACCATCCCAGTCCAATATAAAATTCTGACAAAAGACTTAATATTTAAAAACTTGCTTGATTTTTAGGTAACTCCTAATTGTTATTTTTCAGTATCAATTTCAAATTTGGAATCAAGATCAGAGCCAGTATCTTCGCTCGTAAGAGATGGATGGACAGACAACGATAATCAAATGGACATAGTTAATACAATACCTCGTTATGTAACTTGTGTCCTAGATTTAGTGCCAACAATAGGGAGTGGAGGTAAGCATCTGAAAAAATATTACAACAAAATAACAAGAACAATAAATTGACACATCTCACACTCGGCAGAGCTTGTATTAGTGTAGCCCGGCTGACCGTGGATACGGCTCTCCACACGCTGGCAGAGTGCCCAGCGTGGGTTGAGCAAAGGCGAGAGCTCGTGGCGGCCATCGGAGTGGGAGTTCTCTCGCTCGATAGCCTGATTGCGGCTATCGTGCGGAGCGAGAGTGCGTGGAACTCTGCTGTCTCCTTATGCGAGCAAGTTATGCTCGCGAAGGAGACGGCGGAGCGGGACCGGGAGAGGTTTAGAACTCTCCCGGCCCGCCAGGCCCGGGAACGGGCCAGGTACCGCAGGCGACTCAGGCGCCGGAGGTCACAGAATGACCTCCGTCCTCCATAAGCGCAGGCCTGTCGGTGACAGGTGGACCATCTGTAACCCTAGCAGAACCAGGCCGGGCTGGCGGCGAGAGGGGAGCAGAGGGAACATGGGCTTCCCACACGGAGGGGGTCGTCTACTCGTCTGTAGATGGCCCGAGGTATGTAGGGGCACTTAAGGATTTTTTTAATTTCATTAGTAAGGCTTACAAGTTTCCTTGTCTGGCTTATGAACTAATAAAAGTTATATATATTTGTTTCTTTTTGCCACGACTAAAATAAATAACATAATAAATAACATTAAAACATAATAAGTTTCCAAGTGGATGGAATTCCTAATCATCTAGTGAAATCGATTAAAAACTATAATTATGCCACTAACACTCATAAACAACCTTTCGATTTCAACAGGCAATTTCCCTGACGTATGGAAAACAGCTACTGTTACTCAGATTTACAAAGCAGCCATACAAATAATCATAACTATTGTAGATCTATCTCACTTCTAAGCGTTCCTGTTAAACTACTCGAGACAATTCTTCATCATCGTCAACAGCCTCAATTTGTCTACTACTGGACGTAAACCTCTCCTCAGAAAGGTGGTTTTGGTCTATTATTCCACGCTGGTCAGACGCGTTGGTATAGGGCTTGTGTCAAGTGCTCTTTACAGTGCTGTTGCTCTGCGTAGTTTGCTCCCTTAGTCGGCTCTTACGTGGTAATCCATAACAAGTCTTCTTACGTGACAGGCCATACCTAGGATAGAAGACCTTTGTAAATCCTGAGATCAGCAGGCTCTTTCCGTAAGCTGTATTCTATATAATAATATGTTAAAATTTTATTATTTTAAGAAGATCCTGTACACAATTTTAGTAATAAATTTAATTCTCGTTTCTTTTCCTTTTTGTAGGATCCGCAAATCCAGACAAAATTCGATACTTGGGAATTATCTACTGCTCTCTGTGCGATATAGTGCGACGGTTGAATATCAGCGAAGGGTGCACACTCTTGGCGACGCTTCTATTCAGTTTCACGTTTATGATCACTACACCATACAGCATGTTCAATGTATTATGTATGAGGATTTTTAATTATTTGAAAATTGTGAAGGACCTTTGCCATTTCATTGTTGGTCTGTCAAATAATTTTTCCTCAGTAATACGTGGAGGAGGTATCGAGTAGAAATTACTTGATTATATTAACGGCACGTTAAGTTGTTTTACACGATTATTATTTTTCTAGATACAAGTGGATCTGAAATACCTATTACCAAATGTGTATTAAGTTTCGTGTTTTGTTTGTTCTCCGTTATGGTTCTTGCGACCGTAGTTGAGCCCTGCCATCGAACACGTGAACAGGTACTTGATGATCCATAAATAATTAGGTATTTAAGTAGTTACTATTTTACAGCCTCAAGTATTGAGGCTACCGAGGTCGGTGTACCGAGAGGATTGAAGATACGTGTTGTATGTTTAAATACATACAAACTTTTTAGTCATGTAGTTGTATTCTTTTCTTGTTTTAGCTCTTGGTCACCAGGAATCTAGTTGATAACTTGCTGCGCTACACTGGACCAGAAGCTGCGGCTGTCAGATATGAACTGAAACTGTTCAAACTGCATATCTTGCTAAATCCCGTCAGTTTTAGTCCGTGTCAGTTATTGACGTTTAACAGGACTACTTTAGTGGCGGTGAGTATTGAAACAAGTTCAATTAATTTCAGTTTATTTGCCTTGATAACTTTTGTACTTTGAACCATTTTATTAGCATCATCATTTTAATATCATTACTATTTGAAATCTGTCAATTATAAATAATTTGCAGGACATATTAAAGTTCGAAAATCCTTGAGATGAGTCATTTCGTGAGCCTAAAATAGTCTAAAGCCTATAGTAAATGACTGACACGGGAGTAGGTGCACTAATTAGACTGATTTTTTTAAATAAAATAATACGTCAATCAGATTCTTTTTTTATGTATATATATATTTTAATTTTCTATTAATTTGCAAATAATGTTTATTACTTACCTCAAAATATTTTTTTATATTTTCAGGCCGTGTCTACTGTCATTAGAAATATTACTGTTATGATGTACTTGTAATGAAGAACATACATACAGTCGAATAGCTCCTTCTTTTTGAAAGTTGGTAAAAACGGATTGGTGAATAGTTCAGTGCGGGTCAGGGTCTGGTAAAAAAAAAAGCGCCAAACGCAGCCGCCGCCTTCAACATCGAAGTGATGCGACATTAACTCGTACTAGACTTCAAATCATCACATCAAAATGAACTTTCCGTGGGATGGAACATAAAAAGAAAAGATTTATGAAATTTTAACTTTTAAGTATTTTTTAAGTTTTGATTAGTAATAGTTTGCATTTTCGAATCACTCTGAGACCATGGGTTGGGGGCGAGAATTGTAGTTTAAAATCACTACTATTTTGTTAAATATCTAATTAAATTGATCAATGTTCTAAGCATGTTTTATTGTTAGTGTTCTTCTAGTGTGTCTTTAAAACTTACGATACGAACGATATTAGTCGCCTTTTATTTAAGATACTCATATAAAGTAACATTCACATTACAGTGACAACAAAATAAGGCCCAGTGACCATAAGAACGGTACAATATAGTGCTATCCCTTTGCCCACATTCACCAATCTTGTCACATGGCACATCGAATAATATAATGTTCATCAATTGAAAGAAGAAAAAACTTATAATTCACAACATAATTTTGAAATTTGTTATTAATATATTGTGATGTATTTTAATAACAAATTTGAAAACCGTGTTAAACAGAGAACTACAGCAGTAATGCGTAGTTTTGTTTCAAAAGTGCCTTCATCATATGATTCTTGATAGATAATATTCGTGGCAGATAGAGAGGTAGCAACTTCAAGTGGCCACCCCGGTGAAGTGAAGGCATTAGACTTGAAATACTGTTTACTGCTCAACTTACATTATTTTATCTTTTAATTCTTATGCAATACTACAATACCCATGCAGTCAATCGGATATGCTAAGACAGCATGTACCTAACTTACCTGGACGATTTACCTAGCAATAAATAAATGAAGACTAGACGAAACGAAATAAGCATTTGTTAAATTCAATCTAATTACCACTAAATCGCACAATATTTCAAAGGGGCTGAAACTGCAGTAGCTTTTTAAGCTACTGCAATTATTTACCTCAGGTACTTCGCCCAATCCGTTTTCCTTACCCCAATTCATTGATCTTTTCTTTTTGTTCCATCTGAAAACGCTTATTTCAACATTCCATTTCAAGGAGGTTTTGCCATAGGCAGCCTACACGGTGTGTTACACCGTGTAGGCTGCCCTAGGGACTCAAAGACTAGTCAATAATGTCATATCAATCAAAGTCTAGCGTCTGGTCTAGTTCGTGGAAGTAGTGAGCAAAACAAGAGATAACAACCAAAATAACTGAGTCGTCGACTTACATGTCCAATGCACCCTTTGTACCGTAGTGATGTTAAATTTTGGTCTAATAAAATTAAATATGTTTCTGTTCCTCTGTTTTGCTTCTCTTGAGCTCTACCATACACTGTTTGTTAACTAAAAAAAGCGTGTTGTGCTTTTTACTATTGACAACAGGCACCAGGGTTGGTTTTTGTATTGAAAGTGTGTTTTTTAGTTTCTTTAAACTATTTTTTTTTTAAAGATACTTTGTAATCCTAACATTCGTACTATGCCACATTATTAATCTGTGCTTTGCCACCATCACTTTCCCATGTTCTTATGAAAAGACAATCGTTCATCCGATTCTAAGGCTGGCGACCGTACCACTGTCAACAACTACCGCCCTCTTCAAGGTCATGGAACGTCTAATGGATAAAAGCGTTACTGTCCCAGAATTAGTTCGGTTTTGATAAATTAAATCAACATCCTCTGCAGCTTTAGAAGTTGTTAATGGAATAGTTGAGAGACTTAACCAACATAAGAAAGTCCTTACAGTGTTCCTTGATCTTGCAAAAGCGTTTGATACGGTCCCTCTTGCTTGCCTGATTTCCAACGATCTCCCAGATTTAGAGATACCCAGCTTCAACTCTTTTAATCCTACCTCACTGATCGCTCGCAAAGAGTGAAAATGCTGCCCATTTCATACGGAGCCAAACAGGCAGCGTTTAAGGCCCTACCTTATTCTTAGTCTACATTAATGACATTTGTCAAACATCCTTACCGTCGGGGAAAATCAATTCCTTTGCCGACGACACTGCCATTACTTTCTATGGCGACACATGGTCACAAACACAAACTGTAGCTCTAAAAGGATTCAACACCGTGTATAAATGGCTGATCTTACACTCACTGATACTAAACATCTCCAAAACAAATCTCATCACATTCTCACTTAACGCCTCATCACAACCGAAGACACTGGCAAACCGAATTGTGACTATCCATCAATAACTTCCATCGATACTATTGCTGTGCCATAGGAATAAATGGTTCGATTATTTTAGAATTATATGAAATGTGGAGGACAGCGCCATCTAGTATTCTTATTCGTCTGGAATGGAGCATCGAATACTAGGGATCATTCTAGTAAATCCGATATCTCTATAAAAGCGGAGCGTGTTGACCGTACGCGATAGTATCGTTTCACGACACAGAGAATTAACATCGAAATGAATTTCTAGTGCGACTAACGAGTTATATAGTGATTTCTTGTTTGTTACAGTGAGTGTTTGTAAATACAGTGCAATAAAAGTAATTAACCGACAACTTTTATTAATTATATACCCCGCTCATGACACTATCAAATACCTGGGTGTCATACTTGATAAGCATCTCAATTTTGAAACACACATTACACACTTAGCAAATCGACTACGAAAACTCATCTACATTTTTAAATTACATCACATTGCCAATGCTCACATCATTTGCACCGTCTATTATGCTGTGTCAGTTAAGTATTTGCTACTGTATCACAATTCTTAGATCCATAGTAGAGTTGCTTAGCCAATCAAGAGATTTTTCATTGCGTGACCTTCAATCGTTAATTCGACTATGAGTATTGATAAAAAAAGTTTAATATATTATTCATCTGATATAAAAAAGATAATCAGTTTAGTTCAGTAAATAATACACGTATAAATCAAACGTGTCTTTTTCGTAATAATCATAGACAAGACACGTTGTTAAAACAACGACAGGTGCAAGTTTATCAAAAACAAATACTACTCATTGATTGTTTATGTCATTATTCTATTTGTCACCGCCGGACTCGCACATCAGTATAACATAAAGTATAGCAACACTATTCCAGGAAGAAATTCCAGAATTAACTAAAGGAGGTTTAATGTAAGTACCTTTTCAAAATTAATGTCAAAAGAAGAAACATATATGAAATTACGAAATGCTCACTGAGACCATAGTGTTGCAAATAACTTCAAACAAATATTCTATTTGGAGGAACCAGGACAAGACAAACTAAAAACTTTAGGATTTACATAGAGCTAATTTTTGAAAATTGTAATAGACACCAATCTTGGAAGTGAGCGATGGCCGCGAGCTGCAACCCTGACCATTAACACCTACGACCACTCTGACAACTAAGACAAAGAGGAGTGCAAGAAGTAGTTGCAAAGATCAGGGTCGCTTACTCTTACTTCGAACATACTACTGTTTACTGACTACAGCCTAGGTTTGACTAGCGATCATTTAATATTTAGTTACTTTATTAATTTTATTTTCAGTACTGCAAAAAAAGAAAAATCAAAAAATTGCAACATGAAAAATTCTGAAAAACAAATCTCAGAAAATGGAATGATCCCTGCAGGTCATGTTAATATTGATATGAATAAAAATGAAAATGACAAAAAGAGCGCATTCTACTAGAATGAACCAGTAAGTATTATAACAACTTGACGGTAAATTGTTGCTATCTATTTATATTATTATTGCAGAGCATTTACATTAGTTTTACTTACAGCTATTTCAAAACAATGTTACAAACGGAGTGCGTGGTATCAGGACCGCTCAGTTTTGTTCTTTTTCTCTCACGAATAGCTGGTATAGCACCACTCAGATTTGAGAGAACACGCGACGGTTGGTGTGTGCGATTTTCGTTGTTATACTGCGTCTACAGCTACATTCTTTTATTTTACTTTGGTAAGCCATGACAGTATTAACGAAATATGGGAATATAGTATGTGTGCATACGTTTAATTGTTTAAAATATCTTTGTATTTCAGTAATCTGGATAATGTGTTATTATTTCGGTAAAGGAGATGAAATTACGGATGGTCGAGCTTCATGGGGAGCCAATACAGACGTAATGCGATTGCTGAATGGTATTTGCGTAACCGTCATGGTCATAGTTAGCTCTACTATAATTCACACTGACCATAGTAGGATGTGCTGTGTGATTGATTGTATATCGCAGTTGACATTAGTAAATATATTTGAAATTTAATTAGTATATCATAGAATTAGAACAAAGCAGCAAAATGTTATTACCCACTCTTAGCTGATAATGCTTAGAGATGACAAGAGGATAATTCTCTAACTAATTGTCAACTTGTGAGGCATATATTATAAAGACTCATCAACGATGATGAAATTATGTCATTATTCATATTAATTGCGACCCATCAACGTACAAAAAAAAATCGAGTGTGGTAGATCTTAGACAGTGTATGTAATCATACCAATGCGTTTGTTTGTAATATGAAGTCGAAGTAAATTCAATCGATTCTTACGACAAATCGATCTTCTTCTAGGGAATATATACGGAATACTTAGAGGGTAAGGACAAATTGGCCTCGAAGTAGCTCGGTGTGCAGAACAGATCGAGGCAGTATTTCACTCTGGCCCGCCGCCTTCAGCTCTATAAGACGCAAGTCCGGCCGCATACGGAATACTGTTTTTATCTCTATGCAGGGCACGATCAGGCACCTCAGTTCCAGCTTCTCTCTCTGGACCGCATCCAATGACGAGCGATTCGAATCGTCGATAGCCCAAACATCTCCGACCGGCTCGATCCTTTGGCGTTACGTAGAGATGTGGCTTCACTCTGCATTCTCTATCGCATATATCATGGAGAGTGCTCCGAGGAATTGTTTTGACTAATGGCA